CACATAACCCGCTTCTACCTAATTTGAGTCTCACTGAATTCCCGTGCCACGGTTATATGACCACTGAGGTGCTTCTCCTGCTGAAAGTGAGTCTCTCGAGCTGAGGAGATGTTTTGTTTTCCCACCTTGGTCAATCAGATATTCTGAGGCCTCAGAGAGTAATGGTGGCCAAAACCCCAGAGTGGCTGACTGTCACCGAGGGAGGCCACATAACATCACCTTGGGCCGAGGGACTTACTTCACTGTCCCTGATAGGGAATCAGTGTGATATTCTGGAGACTATCTGGATGGTGCAGACCCTTTGGGGCTATAATGTGACAGAAAACCAGAGGATGGGAAAGGACACAGCCCTGGAGCAAGAGTGTAGACACACACCATTTCTTCCCACCCTAAGTGAGCACAGACTGCTACTGTTCCCACTTTCTTGTGCGTATGGAGAGGAGCACATGCCGCCCGTCAGTGGCTGTATAGCATGTGCCAGAGGGTGCTCATCCGCTCCAGTGAAGGCGCTCTACCTAGCACAACAGCTGTGAGGGGGACTACAGCTTGCTTAACTTTGTAGTCGTTCGCTTCTGTCAGTGACCGATCCACTTTTTGCAGAAACCATATTAGCTAATTAAATGGGAATATGCTAGATACCAACACCCCTTTATCTTTAAGTCTTCAAGAGTGGCACCGTGAGGGGGTACCCCTGACTTGCAATACTGTACTGTTTTTTATTTGCCATCTTATCTTGCAGTTGGTAGGGGAAGGGTCATTTCAAAGGCTTTCACTTAGCTTTTGCTACCACAAGAGCTCTTAGTGTGCAGGTCAAAGGGCCAGTGCCAACTGCAAATCGGGTCTATCCCAGTTATATATTCCGGAGTTGAATCAGTGGGTGATCCATATGTATTCAGGGCTGATGCTTGGTTCTGTAAACTCAATATGAAAGGGACTTGAGATAACACCGCCCTTTATTACCTAACCCACATCTTCCCCTGCTCTAACCAGGGGACCATGATGGTATTTTGAGTGTCTGGTTATCAGCATCAACTCAGATCCTCTGTCTACTAGCACTGAAAGGTATAGGCACATTCCCCTCCCCAGTAGTCAGTCAGTCCAGTAAGTAACCATAGCTCTCTCTGAGGAATAACTAAGAGAGTCACACTTGCCATGGTGTTGAAGAGTTCTTCCTCATGGCGACTTGGCCTCTGATTTAGCCGGTGGCTTCTGGGACAGAAGTGGATGAGATCCAGACACTTGGCAGGGAGTCGTGTCTTCCCACTGGCACAGCTGACTTCAGACTTTTGTTGATTCATACTTGGTCACTTTTGGTTATATACATTAAATAATACTTGTTGGGTGTTCATCTGTCTTGTCCCTAGGAACACTATGTTCTGTTATTTCATCTCCACAGAAGATTGCTGTGACTCAGGCTCCCTTATCTTCCATCGCAGCCTTACTGCCCATTCTAAGTATACCATCTTGCTTGTGCGGGTTAAGTGCTGCTATGCAGCCTCGGACAGTCTAGGATCCTGTCAGGCACATTGATAATAAAGAATTCAGTATGTCGGGCTGGGGATTTAGCTCAGCAGCACAGCACCTGCCTGGCAAGTGCAAGGTCCTGAGTTTGATTCCCAGTACCAACAAAACAAAACCAAAGAAACCCTCTATATCTTGTGAGTCTACAAAGAAGAGTTAATTTACAGCTTCTCAAAGACACTGATGCGCTCCGGGCCAGCACATGCCTACTATTTTAGCAAGAGGAGAGTCTTCCGGCTGCTCACTAGGAATATAGTTGGCTGGTAGGTTTTCCAGTCTTGTATCTTGATCCATTCTAGGATGCCTACTTCTGTGAGTCTTCTATCGTTTTCTCCATAGTCTACTACAGCAGTTCTGGCATCTCTACTTCATTTGTTCTGGCCCACAACTTTTGCTAAGCTCTCAATAGCCACTGCACATCCATCTCCCAGAGCCCTTGCCAGGCTGTTAAATCCTAGGTCCCAGGCGGCTTCAAATCAACAAACTCTCCCTTATGCAGCCTTGCACTCTGCTTCTGACCCCTATTCTGGTCCATACTCAGCCAGTGTCTCCAGCTGCTCACAGTCCAGGTCAGCCAGGTCCCGGCAGGTGGGGGTGGAGTAGTGGAGCTTTATATCTCAACAAGGCCCGGTGGGTGGGTTCCAGGTGGGTGGGTGCCCTCTGTAGCCTAAGAGCCCTGAGGAGAGGCTGAGGGTTCAAGGTTCTCATGTGCCTCATCCCATGTCCCTAGGACCTGACTCTTCCCTGGGACGGCCTGACTTTAGCACAGGGAACTTGCAGAGCCTGAGAACAGCCTTCTCTGGCATTCAGTTTGTCTTCTGACAAATCACCAGTTCTTCCTGCCTTCTAGCTAAAACTGAGCCTCTTTAAACATGCCGTGCAAGAAGACCATCTGATCCTCACCAGGATGTTGCTCTACACTGGTGACTGATTGTTCCGGGCTTGTCACTTTCCCTCGTCACAGGCACTCAGCGACAGCCTCCCTTTGCGTAGCCCCTGCTCCTCCCACATCTCTTATTTCCACAAATTCTGCTCAGATCAGTGCTTTATCCTGCCCCAGAGCCCTATAGAAGATCCCTACAGTTTTTAGCATTTATACCCTTCTTCCTGCCAGGAACCTTCAGTAGGGTGACACACCCGGGTGCTCAGTGCCAACTGACCCTCTAGCGTGAGGGTCAACTGTGAGCTATGAGTAGCAACTGGGCAGTGGGCACCCCAACCAGGAATGGGGCATGTGAGAGGGTGCCTGCAGTGTCTACTGACATTGTAGGGTATTTCTAAATGTTTGGAAACATTGCATGGGGCAAATCTATATACACCTCCATTGATTGGAACCTAATCTGGAGGCGCAGTTTCTCACTTCCTCAGTGCAGGACTCTAATCTCCTGGGTGGCAGAGGCTCGGTCCTGTTCATCTTTGCTTTTCTCATTCAGAGGCTAGTAGTAAATTGTTACTATGCAAACATTTATCAAATGAAGGGCGTTTGAGGGTAGATCACAGAGCAGCTTGAACTCCGGGCTAAATACTTGGAGCATTGTTCTATTGGCAGTTAGGAAGAGTTTGAAATGTTTTCTTGGCAACAGTATGTAATGTGTATTGGGGCAGTGAGAGAGAGAGAGAGAGAGAAGAGAGAATAGCCAAGAGCTATTGCAACAACATAGGCAAAAAACAAGAGGCAGAATGTGAGTGGAGCCTGTGAATGTGGAGAGGCAGATGGAAAAGTAATTTTAAAATATTATCTACAAGGCCCAGATGGCCTCCGGCTGACATCCACTGCAGAGACTTCAGGGATTCTAATCAATCAAGTGCCTGGGGACTTCTGCACTTCTGCACCCTCAGGCAGATAGCAGAAGAGCATTTCTCATGTGTGTTTGGAAGAAATAACTGGAAAATAAATACCTACAGATTTTTTCATTGTCGAGTACAATTAGACAAAAATCTCTAAACTGGACAGTGGTATATTCTTTTTCCTCCCTATTTTTTGCCAGAATCCACAATTATATTTGAGAAAATCCAAGGTTATCAGTACAGAATTTGCTCAGTTCACTAGTACACAGGCCACTTAAAATCAAAGTGGCTTCCAATGACACTTTCAAGTAAGGCGTGCTGTACGGTATCGTGCTTCAAAGCTGCAGCTTGAGCACATTATTTTCAGCTGCACTCTGGACTGCGTCCTGGTTGGAATAATTTACCCATGATGTAAGTGGATCATATAGACACCAGAAAATACTTTTTTTCCTCTGAGCTGTCTAGGCCTTGACTATAGGGAAAGGTATTTACATTTCTCTTGGTGATTTTGACCAGGTGCCTGCAGTTCACATTGTTTTCCGAGAGCCTATTTCCGGGAACCCAGTTACATGGGCCGGATCTGGATTTGGCAAGGTTCTCCCCGGGGCTGCCTTGAGATTTGCTGTTGACAACATTCTTTCTCCATGGACTTCACTGTTGCTGCTTGCTGTGGAACTCAGGTACTCCTTAACTCCAGGTTCATGATGGCAGAAAGCCAAGAGAAATACATTCTCAACTGTTTCCACTGCAGCCTTGCTAGAATAGGGTCTTCATTAAATGATACACAGAAAGTAGGACATCTGGAGAGCATTATAAGTAAAAGGATTTCCTAAAGACATTTAAGCAACAGCATGAACCGTATGCTCACATGCTTTGTCTGTGCAGTAAAACTATCGTTGGAGTTCCATGTTTGAAGGAGCAGGTTTAAACATGGTACCGGAATGTTTGTATAAGAACAACTAAAATAACACAAATCCTGCCCTCCTGAGACCTTTTCTCTAAAACTTTAATAAATCAACACATGTGCAGAGATTCAGACTCAGATGGGACGCAGCGGAGGCATTTATTTGCATTTAGACCTTACCCTGCAACAAGACACTAAAAGCACACGGTCCCTCTGCCCCTTTCTACCCCACTACCCGTCCCCAAAAGCCCTTGGGAAAGGTCTGGAGCAGAATGGCAATTAGAAAACAAAGGTAGAAAAATACTTGAGCTAGAGCAGTAGTTTCTAACCTTTTCTCCCGTAATCTGAAACCCACCAACCACTTCCCTTGAACAATGTCTTATGTGGATGCAGGGGAAAGTGGTCATTGAGACCCCCAGCCTGTGGGGACCCCATTCTGGAGGCACTCAGTGTGTGTCACATGACCACAACTGCCGGCCATGTTTGAAACGCTTGATAGGACCAAACTCTCCCTTTCTCACTTACAAAGGAAAGCCAAGACTGCGGTGATCTTTGACCTGGTGAGGACACAAACCATCACAAAGGAAGAAATATTTCTATTTATTCATAGAACATATGTCTGACTGCTTTCAAAAGCTTTTCTAAAGTGTAAGGTTCCCATAATATAGCTAGCATCATATTTCTTTTATCTATAGTCTTTTGTGAAGCTTTCCAAATTGTTCTTTGTTCTGTGATCCAGGCCATGATGAATTAAATCATTTGGAGACAGGGCTTAAAAATTAGACCTGACCAGAAGGTTAGGGTTTTTCCGGGCCCATCCGTGATAGCTGAGCCAGGACCCATGTTCTCTCTGCTCTGATCACAATATAGACTCCAGAGAGCTGGGAGTGTGAGTGAGCCACTCTGACTCCTTTCAACTCTAAGAGTCAATTTTCCAAGTGGGCTGTGGGTCGTGAATTCAATTCCATGCACTATCCCTTAGGTGTACAAGTCTGTGCACCAAACACTTCACATCCTCATGGTGACATGCTTTGATGTCATGCCTGTCTAGCCTGTAGCTGACTGGGCTGTCCAGATCATGGTTAACCCCCCAGGAGGAGCTACTATTGAAAATGCAAGACTCCGCAGCCAGCACATCTCCAGCATTTGCCTTACCAGAGGCTGCCAGGTATGCTTGAGACTCTACCTCAAACATTGAAGGTGCCTTAGAATGTGGTTCCTATATCAATAAGACGTACCCAGGAACTACATGGGAGAAGAGTGGTATTCAGGGAGACAATCCTACTTCTCACATAATTCCTGTGTACTATACTATACATTATATTTAATATCACATTTAACCCATAACAGTTCATTGAGGTAGACTGTGTGTTCATCGGATGAAGAGGAAGTTGAGATGAGGAATACTTAAATGACTTGTCCAAGTCTCATCTCCAGGAGGTAGGAGAACCAGGGTCCTAGCCCAGCTATCTTGATCCCAAACTTGAATGTTCCTTACCCAATGCCCTGATGGTTTTGAAATGTGACCAAGTGAAGTGCTACAAGAATTAAGAGCAGGGGCTGGGGATTTAGCTCAGTGGCAAAGAACCTGCCTGGCAAGTGCAAGGTCGTGAGTTCAGTTCCTGGTACCGCAGAAAAACTAAAAAAAAAAAAAAAAAAAGAATTAAGAGTAAAATACTCAGCTGAGTACTATCAACTGAGAGTCCATGACGAAAAACTAATTTTGAGGCCACTCATTTTGTCTTATCAAAGATTGTGGCAAAAATGGAGTAGAGACCCTGCTAACGTCAGCACAATGGACAGGATGAAGGAAATCTGTCCGGGACTCTCTCCGGGGAGGTCAGGGCAACCCGTGGCACTCAGTTGCTGAGGGTTTGCTATTTGGCACAATCCTGTGGAGGAGCCCAACAGGATCTAAGTGTGAATTTACTGCCTTGCCAAGCCACTGGTGCTAGACATGGACCTTTGTCTCAGCCCCATGGTGGAGCCCCTTACCAGCCCAGGTAGATGCTTCCAAATACTGTGGTTACCTACGTGATCTAATTGTACTTTTATTGCTGGTGTTTTGCTTTATCTCTCTCAATACAGAGTCATGCTGCTTCCCACACCCATCTGTTCGGAGCCGGGCATGCGGTACCAGCGATGTCTATTTTTCTCAGTCTTTGGAAGGACTCATATCCTCGTGGATTCTGTAAGTATCTCAGCTTGTGTGTGGGTGCTTGCTTCTCAACCGAGTGCCGTTATAATTCTAATTGCAGACTCTGATGAGATGTTTCTTGAAAAATATAAATGTACCTGTCAAAGTACGAAACTCACCTAAGAGCCACTGCATATTGTATATGACAGTGTGTCTCAGTAATAAAGTGCTTCACATATTATATTCACTCTTTACCACAACCCTATAAAGTGTTATCATTCCTTCACAGATGGAGAAACTGAGGCACAGGGCCACAGAGCTAGTGAGTGAGGCATCAGGAATGGGAAGAGCAATGCCTGGGTCCAGGCAGATGAGCCAGTGCATTACAGAAAGGTTAGGGAAGAAACCCCACCACTTCAGTTCTTACTATTGTGTAAGTTCCCATCTTGTGCATGCTCTGCTTTCAGATCATTGTGATGAAAGTGCTCACAAATTACGTGCATAGATTTGTCATCTTCCTCCTGCATCATAAGCAGTTTCTGGTGGTACTTGTGTGGCTTACTTAACATTTTTAGAAACCATAATATTCTGAGTGACTCCTTTTAGCATCCGTCTCCCACATATGCTAACATGTCTTCCCCTGTGCCATCCTTCAAGCTTACTACTAGGCAGAGCTTGGGCACTGAGGACACTTATGTAATTTAATCTATTATTCTCTGTTTAGATCTAGATTGTCCCCCAAAAGGCTCATGTGTTCAGAGGTAGGGCTTGTGGAAAGTGACTGGATCATGGAGATGCTGTACATATCAGTGGACATGCTATTGGGGCATGGTCGGAAGAGCTGGGTTGCTAGGAGCAAGATCTGGAAAGATCTATCTCCCTCCCTGGTTCCTCCCTTCTCTCCCTGCTTCCTGGCTGCCATGCATTGAGCACCTTTTACCTCGCCAAGCCATTCTACCATTGTTTCTTCCTTGGAGCGAGCGACCAAGGACGAAAACTGTGAGCCAAAATAACCCTCTCCTCCTTTAAATTGTGGATATTGGATATTTTGTGCCAGCCATTTGAAGGTGACTAAGATACTCTATTCACAGTTGTGTAAGTAGCTTCTATTTTTAATACATATTTTAAATGTATTAAAATATATTCCTACTTTACCCAAGGTCATATGCTTTTTGAAGTCATTTTTCAAATTCCTTTCTGGAAGTTATTTGCCAATTAATTTTCAGGATTGTCAGTAATATATGAAAGTACCAATTTCACTCCCTTTCAGCAGAATTCTGTAGAATTACATGGAATTTTTTGACATAATTTTGTGGATAAAGAAATCAAATTGCTTTGTTAAAATTGCATTTATGAATATTTATGAAGAGGGAGAGAGGCAAGCATAGGGAAGGAAAGGGAAGTTTGAATTTCATAAGAACATTAAGTTCTAGTAAGTAATCCCAAACATTTCCCTCAAATATTGCATGAGAAATACTTAGATGAAAAATTATTCATCATTTCACTGCAGTTCAGTTTTAACTTGGTGATATGTAGACCAAGGTGGTCTAAACCTGCACCTGGAGGCTATGCAGTAGTGAGGCAAAAGTCCACCATACTCTGATGGAACTAGAAAGTAGAAATAAATTCTTAAGTGGGAAGAAGATCAAACTATCATGCACTCCCCACCCATAAAATTCATCTTCTTTGTTGAGAAGCTGAAAATAGAACCGTGCTTATGACCCAACCTATGAATAAGAACAGGAAGTAAATCAGATCAAAAAGCTTAATTCAGGGACAAAAACCCTAAAACTAGGAACCCAGAGAGTGGAACTAAAGAGAAAGGAACAATCTAATGGAATCCTAGATCATTAAGGGATGCTATTATTACAAGAATAATCCTGATACTCAGCTTGATAAGAGCCAAGATACTCCATATCATTTTAAATCTACACCTTAAATATTTTTAAATTTTGAAAATTCCAAAGATTGTCACTTGATGCTATGTTGAATGTATTTATTCTCTCTGCACTGAATGTATCCACATCGGGCATTGTGCTGGCTCTGAAGTATAGAATATGGTTCTTGACCTCAAAGAGTTCATTTCAATACAGAAGACAGATATAAGTGGTGCAGTGGTGCTTAATTTCAAGTTACTCAAACAAATGAATAATTTGAAATTAATTTGAAAATATGCCCATTTTACCCATTTTCAAGCAATCATTCTCTACATATAGCCATACCCAGAAACATGGATAAAAATTAAGAAAACACCCTCATCTTGGAAAACATTCACAAACTTCAGAAGCAGCCCTGGAGCCCTGTGTTTTAAGCCATATTCTCTAAGAGCTGAAGTGGAAATGGGCACCAGGTGCGTGTGATTCTGGGAAAAGGGGAAGTAGGGAGGGAAACCAGAGGACGGGGCAAGGACCCCAGCAAGGGTGCGGCGCCGCTGGAGCGTGACTTTTGTCCATTCCCACAGAGAGCCCCAGAGCATGAATTGCATGCCAGAATTGAGTCTAACACAAGACAAAGGCGTGATTCTAAATGTGCCCACATTGTTGGCGACTGGCATACCACCACTACCACCAGCCCCCAGTGAGCTTATACATCCCTGGACATGGTGGCTGAGTGCTGTTTCCTGGAGAAGACAGCTGTGAGCCTTTAGAGCCAATACCATCGCAGCTGGAGGATGAGGACACCAGCCTGCCAAAGAGGATCCAGGCCGGGTACCAACAGTGTGCATGGTAGCCCAGTGGAGAAATTACATTGCATGCCTACAGACTGATGTGTCCAATGCCACGCTACCAATTTTGCTGCTCTGGGAAGATACTTCACCCTTGGGACTTGGCCATTTCAAAATTCATTCTTCTCCTCAGCCAAATTACTCTCTGCATCAAAGTCTATCTCCTGCCTAAAAGACCAAATAAAACTTCTGTTCAGCTCTGGACGCTCTTTGGCACAGACACCATTTGTTTAGCAAATACAGCGAGACACTCAAGATTTGTTTTCAGATGCCCAAATTCCATGATGTTTGCCTCCCTGAAACTGAGGGAGGCAAACCAAAAAATGGACCACCCTTAGGAAGCATAAAGTCTTCAAAATTTCTAGGAGAACTGAGTCTTGGTATCACAAAATCCTATAGCTGACACGGACTCTTGCCCTCTGGTCCATCTGCTTGGTTGCAAGAATGGCCACCTCTAGCAGCTCTGACCCCCGGGTGTCAGTCATCTCTGCTCAGCTGCCCTTATCCCCAGTGAGGTACGATCTAGCTGACTTCTGCATCTCTTTCCCCCTGGTTTGTGTTTGGAGAGTGCAGGGGCATTTTAGCTTGAACTTAAATATATAACATTAGAAATGTAAGTAGACTTCTTTAAGGGAGAGCACTTTGTGAAGCAGTGCGTGCACATGAGACACGGTGGGAAGAAGAGGCATGAATGAAACATCCACCTCCCTGCTGCCCTGAGGCTCACTGTCTCCAGTGAGCATGCAATCAGCAGGCAACAGCATGGGGCAAGAAGGGTTCAGAGTTGTAGCAGAGCACTGCCTTGAAGAAAATGCAACACACAGTTGTTCTCAACTCATCGGACCCAACCTTCTGCTGTTAGACAGCTTTCTTCTACTGTAACAAAATGCCTGAGATAATCTGCTCACAAAGACAAAAGGTTTATTTGAGCTCACAGTTGTGCAGGTTTCACTCCATGGCCAGTTAGGCCCATTGCTCTTGAGCCTGAGGCATGGAAGCACCTTGGAGAGGGAGCCATGGTAGGCACAGCTGCTCACTCATGACCAGGACAAAAGAGAAGACAAGGAAAGGGCTGGGGTCCTGCCATCCCCTTTGAAAACCCATCCCCAGGGACCGGAAGACTTCCCACCAGCCTTCCCCTCTTCAAGTTTCTGCCATCTCTCAGTAGCGCCACTACAGGGAGTAAGCCTGGCCCACAGGGAGACACAAAGATCCAGACTGTAGCATTCCCCTTTTTATCACAGGAATTTCCTCACATTCTTAGCATAGATTCACATACCTGAGACACTATGGGCAGTTGTTTTGGGAACACGCTGACCTGTTTAGAAGCCGTAGACTCTGTCTCTCAGTCCAGATAGTTACAGGCAGGGTGCTCTCCTTCATGGTGTTCGCTGGAACATCCAAAGGCTGTAGGGGGCGTGAAATCATTTTCCCTTTTACAAGCATGTCCGGTACTTCTGACCCCCAGTTACACAGCACATCCAGTCGCTGTGACTTCTAACACCACTCCTGTGAGTTTCCGGAATGCTCCCTAGGGCAGGTGCCTCCCATTCTGAGAACCGCAGGGCAGAGAGGGAAGGAGTGAGGGTAACAGCATGAAGAGATGAAGTCTGGGTTTTATCCGGTAGTGGTGGTGGGAGGCACTGAAAAGTTGAAAGGAAGGGATTAGCTAAGCCACGTTTAGAAGGGTCACTATAAGAGGTCACAGTGAAAAGCAATGGAAGCTGGGGCATCTATCTACAGTTAAGGGCCAGGAGGACTGGTTTCCGTATGAACGAAGCAAGGGAAAGTTCTGGGAGCCTTATGGGTGCTACTGGTCCAGTCTCCTTACCTGACCTGCAGAATTAAAACTGTTCTCAGTGCTGTTTTTAACACCAGGAGTTCAGAAGGACCAGCTGATGTAGTCAATATGCTTTAGCAACACACTCTCTACTATATTATCCAACATCATTAATATGTGTTTTAAACAGTATTAGGCAGAGCTGGGCGTGGTGGCGCACACCTGTAATCCCAGCACTCGGGAGGCTGAGGCACGAGGATTGTGGCAAGCTCGAGACCAGCCTGGGCTACAAAGTGAGCTCAAGGCCAGCCTGAACTGCATAGCGAGACCCTGTCTCAAAAAGACAAAAACAAACAAACAATAAATAAGCAGTATTAGGTATAACAAACTCTTCTTTAAAAATACAACAGAATATTTTTTTACACATAAAAGTTGAAACAAGCTTCTAGAGATGCATTTGCCCCCATAATAGCTGTATGGCCCGTGTCAGTAATTTCCAAAACACGTCTGTGAAATACTGGTTTTATGATGTGAATGAGTATTGCTTGGACATAGGACCAAGTAGCTAAATAACTGTGGAAATACTGAGATTAAAAAGTGTCTTTCTCGTAACAAACACTGTTGAATTCCTACCATCTTGTTTAATGAAGTTCTGCATCATTTCTAATGTTTTTTATTACTTGTTATTGTTTTAATTGTTTGATCAATCTTGCATTCTCACATCTGATAATCTGAGCAACTTTATTGAAGATAGCAGTGTGTAGTATAACAACCAATGTTAATGCTTACCATCTCGTTTTGAAATCCTGTGTCTTTTTTATTGTTTTTGTATTGTTTTGTTTTTGTCTTCATTGTTGTTATTTTCTTATTGTTTTTTTCTCTTTAAAATAAAAAAAAATGACAAGTATCTTTCTTAGCCGATGCAGTAGTGCACAGTAGTAATCCCAGCGTTTGGGAGGCGGAAGCAGGAGGATCACTATGGGTTCGAGGCCAGCCTGAACTACATAGTGAGATCCTGTCTCAAAAAACCAGAGAATTTAAAAATGTATCTTTCTTGGAGGACTTTTGGGAGCCTGTAATATGTTAATCTATCCTGTTCCTCCTAAGAAGGCAGTATAGGTTGGTGTAATTGGAAAACTTGCTCACGAATAATTGGAAAACTTACAGGAAAATATTATGGATTCAGAGTTCACCCTACCACTATAAGAAGCTCTGTCTAAACCATAATTTCTTAATTTTCCACAAATAAATCACTTAGTTAAAAGTCTTTCAAATCTAAGACAAATACATTAGCAAATAAAAAAATGATGATGCCAATTAGAAGACAAAGCCTGTTTTCTTTGCCATAATTTAATAAATGTAAATATCTGGTTGAAGCCTTCTTAAATAATTAAACATTGTAAAATCCTCAGTCCTGGATGATTTAAAGGATTGAAGTGAGTCTCTTTTGGACCATCATTCTCAAAGATCTGTTTTTTTAATGTAACAAGAATCCTGGACAGCAGACAGTTGGAACATGAGTCTTCCTTTCTCATTATTTCAAAAGCTTGGCCTTACTCCCCAAGCCAATTCACTGGAGGATTTCTGCAGCAAGCAGGCCCTGGCAGAGGCTCTGCTGCACAACTGTGTTGGAACCACCTGGGAAGTGGGGCCTCAGCAGCTCCCTATGCGTGTGAAAGGCTGGCCACCAGCATCTTGGCCAAGCTGCGTGACTGAGTATCTGTCTGATGGGCTCTGCTAGAGCCCTGAGAGCTGTACAAGTGCCATTTAGAACATAAGGGAATCCATCAAGTTTACACCCAGTCTAAACAACAACCATTGTATCCATTACCCACGGCACACACAGAGCAGTCAGATCAAAACTCACAGGGCTGTGAGTGTGGGAAAGAGGATGATTCTTGCAGCACTGGAGTGCTGGTCTGCTGAAGCCATGGTCCTAGAATATTTATTTGAAATCCTTGAGTTCTAGGGCTTGGTAGGAAATCTAACCAATTTCCTTCATCCCCAAACTTTCTAAATTTGGATTTTAGAGTCCAAAGACACTATGTAACTGGCTCATTTCACTTAGCTAGAGCAGAGAGCTTCTCAGCTTCAGCACTACTGACATTTTGAGCTGGATAACTGTCGTGGGGGCTCTTGTTTGTTGTAGGGTGTTCAGCCATATCCCTACCTACTCAATACCAGTATCACCCTCCCTGAACTGTGATGCCCAATAATGTCTCCAAACTTTGTCAAATGTTCCCTAAGGGGGCAAAATTTCCCTTCAACTGACAACCAGTGCTATAGAGTGACAACTACAATAAGAAGCTGGGCTTCCTGAGTTCTAGGCAAATTTTTTTCTCCTTTAGGGCAGGACTAGGGATTCAGGGTTTCCACCATCTCATAGAATATGTGGACTAGGGGAAATAAAAACTTGTAGGTGTGATTTAAAAACTATGATGAATGTTAGTTTTTAAAAATTTTGTTGCAATAAAAGACACATTGCCATTAATGCCACTCAAAATACTTCACCTCACTGCAAGCACACTTATCCCACTGTCTTGCCACATTCTGAAGCAGTTCTGGAAGTCCTCTTTCATAAGTGTCTTTAGTTGCACTGTCATGGCTGCCTCCGTGTCCTGAATTGATTCAAAATGTTTACCTTCCATTGTAATTTTGATTTCCAGGAAGAGACGGAAGTCTTTCAGTGCCAGATCTGGTGAATAAGGTGGCTGAGGACACACTGCAATGTTTTTATGAGCCCACCTTTCCACTGGGTATACTCAACAGCACAATTTACCACATTTTTTTATCACATCTTGTAAAGACACAAAAGAAGACTTCCAGAACTGCTTCAGAAAGCGGCAAGAATGATGGAGAAGTGTGTTTGAAACAATGGAGAGTATTTGAGAGGGATTAATGGCAAGGTGTCTCCTATTGTAGTAATTTTTTTTTATTTAAACATTCGCTGTATATTTTTATCACACCTCATAAGACATCAGGAATTGAAGGAATAACACCAATAGTAACACTTGCCTTCAAGGTATTATTAAAACAATTTATTTTAAGATTTTTATTAACTTTCAAGTAATGTTTATCGAGTGCTTACTACATGGCAAATGATATTCTAAATACTACGCAAGCATTACTGCCTTTGACCTGTACAACAGTCCCATGTAGCAGTACAGGCAATTGAAGATTAGACAGGCAGCAAGTGAAGAAGGCACCTAAAGCTATGGGGGACAAGATACTTCTCTCTGCCACCTCCTTCACCTCTGCCTCCTGCCTTTCTCCCCGCAGGCTACAAGCATCACCCCAAGGGCATGGTCAGGTCCAGCTGTGGCCCACAGGGAGGCCAGTGCCAGTGCCAACCTCATGTGGCTGGGCACCCCTGTGACAGGTGCTCTGCTGGAAGCTATGGTCGGGACATCACGGCTGTCACTGTATGTAGCCAAAAATGTGAGAGGAAATGCATTTGTTCACAACCGTGGTGTTATAAAGGCAGCCGAAGGGGTGTGGGAGTTTTCAAGAAGGAATTGGAGACTTGTCCACTCCATTCAGATTTAATCTGTTTATGTAAACGAAATGTACCAGATTTTCTACCACACTTCATCCCTTCACTGGTCAATGGCACAGTGTAGAGATCTCTATTAGGAGCCCCAAGTAATGAACAGAATATGGCCCATGCTTCTGGGAGTTTGCATCTGCATTAAATGGGCTATAATCCGGGTAACACTGGCAACACCATGAAGGTAGTTGGTCATGCACACCCAGCTTTAAGTTCTGGCTCGTAAGCCCAGTGACAGGAGAGGGCAGAACAACTATGAGAGTGGGAAATCAAGGAAAAGACAGCACCGTTGCTCCAGGTCAAACCTCCCCAACTGAGGATGTTACCCATTTTGATGCTGGGCTTCAGAAAGCCTCACAGCTCATTTTCTAACCACCGTCTAACGACGGCTTAGACAGAGCTTCAATCATAGTTGGTGGTTCAGCCTCGCTGGGTGCCATGTTCAGGATATGTAGTTCCTGTGCCTTATGTAACCCATTAGCGAGGCAGTTGCTCCCAACAGAAACCTACGTCAGGATCCATGAAACCAACTGTAGGTTAATTCTCCTTTCCAGCAGGGGAACATATCTTTTGGGCCATGATTCAGAGAGGTCGTCCTCCTCCTGGTTACTTCTTGGGCACAGCTGCCTCCCCTGCAAACAGTGAATGGGTTCTGCACTGCTTTTGTTTTTAAATTATGAAATGCTTGAGATGCACAGAGGGATCTACACAAAGGAGCAAATGTTTCTTCCACCCCATGTGGTCTCCACTAACACTGCATAGAGAGTGGACCTAGAATTCAGATGCAACAATTCCAGCTGCAAAGTCTGTACTCCTTTTTTAGTTGTTTGCTTGTTTGCTTGCTTGATTTTCAATACTGGGGATTGAACCCAGGACTTTCTACTGAGCTACACCCCCAACCCTTTTTGTTTGTTTGTTTGTTTTTTAATTTTGAGACATGGTCTTGGTAAGTTAAGACTGGGCTTGACCAGGCTGGGCTCTGACTTTCAGTCCTCCTCCCTCTTCCTCCCAGAGTGCTGGGATTACAGGCCTCTGGTTTGGGGTGACAGGAATGCCTCACTTCTGTAGATCTTGTAATTTTGCAAATTTCAGTTATACTTTGACCACTAAGCTATATGAAAGTTTAAGTCATTGAAATCATGTTGCTTGTTCAGTTCCTCTGTACAAACAACAAATGTTTTAAGGATCAGTTGTTCACAACCTGTCATTTATTAAAGGAACAGTAAATCATCATTACCTAGTTCCCATTATAGACCAGGGTTTGTTCTAAGCACACTGTAAACTCACTTTGTTCACCTTGGCTGGGACAAGGAATGCAAAATGCAAGCTATAATTCCTCCACAACCATGCCACTCGCCCACTCCAACAGAGTTCTCGGGGCTTTATCCAGCATGTGACTGCCATCCTCCAGGCTCAGAGAACACAGTGTGTGGCCAGATAGCCAGTCAGTGCCTCTGCCGCGGAAAGGTGACTGGGCGCCATTGTGAGAGGTGCCTGGCGGTCTCTTTGGACTTCCCAACTGTCGCTCTGGCCCTTGTAATGGGTTTGCTGAACTTCACCATCCAGAGCCAGGGTCATGCTTCAAATGCGGGAGTTTTACACCTGGAAAAAGCTGTGAAAGCTATGGAATGACTCAACAGTCTGTGTGGAACAGCTAGTGTGGGTGGGGGTGGTAACTGTTCCATCATCTTTAAAAATCTTCCTGTGAGCCAAAAATGTCTGATTCAGTCAAGAACACATTGGCCTGGCCCATCACTTTAGTGTTTCTCAAATGTGACATATAAATCATAAAGTTTAATGACTATACCTTGAGGTTTTCATTATAAAACAAAAATTCTTAGCCGAGCGTGGTGGCACAGGCCTGTAATCCCAGCACTCAGGAGGCTGAGGCAGGAGGATTGTTGCGAGTTCGAGGCCAGCCTGGGCTACAAAGTAAGCTCAAGGCCAGCCTGAACTGCACAGCGAGACCCTGTCTCAAAAAGACAAAAAACAAAAAGCAAAACAAAAAAAAATAAAATAAAAAATTCTTTTACAGAGAAAATAAGGATCTTCTAAAACATTGAGCTTTCAAAGTTGTGTTGTCCTAAAGCATAGCAAACCCATGTTAGCTAACACATGAGGTTTTCCCAGGAATATCTTGGTAAAAGGGAATTGCCTTGACAGGTGCATCGATGGTTACTATGAAATCCTTCTTTAGGACAGCCTTGTCATCCTTGCCCATGTCCAAATGTTCCTTCAAGCAATCAATGTTTTGCCCGTTCATGTTATCAGAATCCTTGGGGCTCAGATATAATCTGCAATTGTCTTCAACGTTATACAGGTAGGACTTGATCACATGTTCATGATGTACCCGCCTGGCACAAATGCATGGTCAGAACATGTTAAGGAAAGGAGGCCTAATACATTACCCTGCTGCTTTCCTGAGGGAAGGTTTGAATGATCCAAAAATCAGTGACAATCGCTCAATTCCAGTGAGCTATATTTGCTTTTAAATAATGAATTAGAAAATTGGTTGACTAAATGAGATCACATCAAATTAACTTATTTAATATATAATCATAACATGCCAAGTAAAATGTATAGATATATACATAAATGTATAGCTATACATATATGACTGAATAGCATATATATTATATAACAGGTTATGTAAGCAATTAAAAAGTACAAATTTCATTAGCCAAAAGCTTTCCTTGTATTATTCCAAGCCATCAGTTTGACTGATATTCCAGAGATCTAGCTAAGTTTTTCAAAGTCTTGAAGCACTATTTTGGGTGTTGTGCATAAGTCTTACTTAAAATTGTATATACTGCTCCATCAAAAAATTTATTTCAAAGAGCTTAAGTGTGAGTATGAATACATAATGCAAATAAGAAAACATATGAAGTCTACCTGATTCCATCACACTTAGAAAGTACAGCAATATTATTTTCTTCGATGATATTTACCAGTAACAGAACTGATTTTCTTCTTACTGGTTATGTCTGAGGTTACATATGAGTTTAGCGGATTCTGCCCTCTTCTCCAAGCACGGATTATCTTGATTGCAGTTTTTAAGACCAGAGAGTATCTTTTGGCTTAGGGCATCCAGATGGCTGAGCCAAAATGGAGAGAGAGGACCCACAATTTGAGCTACTACCCTGGGATTGGAGGGGTCAAGAGCGTTGGAGAGAGGTGGGTGGGCCACACCGCGCCCTGTAGCGCCACCCCCATGGGCTCTTGCCCATCCTGCTTTGGACACCTGGCTCAGGCTGTTGCTATTTGGCACTTTCCCTTCATGGGCGTGGTTCACCTCTAGGATGGGCAGGGAGCTGAATGTTCCCGAGGCCTCGGACTGAGAAGACCTTGGGGCCTGGGACACGTGAGAGCAACTGTGGTTATATAGGGACCTAGGAATCCTGTACCCACAATTCCTGGGTTTTGGAAGAAAGACCAAAATCCATTCTTCACAGAGGCATTTTAGCTCTGAATACTTTTTTTGTTGTTGTTCTCTGACTGAATAATAAACAAAAGTTAGTGTTTTATTTAATTCACAATATTTTTCCTTATTTGCCCCAAATATGTGTCATAATTATCCCTAGTGGAGCAGGGACCCTCCTCAGTCTCTTTCCCTCACGCAATAGCACACCTCATCCCTTTGTAGGGCTTCAGTGTGCAGAACGCTCTCCCCGTTTCTATGGTAACCCACACGTTTCTGGAGCACCTTGCCAGCCATGCGTCTGCACCCACAACAGAGACGTAACTGACCCAGAGTCCGCCAGCCGGTGACAGGGGACTGGCCTTACACGCCCGCACAATACCCAGGGCCCAAACTGCCAGCTCTGCAAATCAGGTCACTTTGGATCCGCCCTCAATCAGACCTGCCAAAGTAAGTCAGCAAAGCTAATAAATGTGGGGTCAGCTTCCCCAGGCTCGCCTCATCCCGGCTAGGCCCTGCAGCAAAGGCTGCACCCGCTGCGTGGCAGGGCCCCGGCGCTGACCCTGTCGGCAGAAAGCAGAGAGCGCGTCACCGTACTCTCGGGGGTCACAGCGTACTCGCTGCTGTTGTTCCTATCCCTTTGTGACTGTTGCCTGTAACACCGACTCCTCTGATGAATGTGTCATCATGTACTGCAAACCGACAACAGCAAACAAAGGAGAAGAGAGTGTAAAAAAGATAGGAAGTGGCCCTATATCTGTTAGTTTAATTTCAAGTAAAAGATTTCAGAGAAGCATTAGGACCCCCTGCACTTTTCAGAACACTCAGTATAGGGTCTGAAGACCACAAGGATTTCTTGTAGGAATCATTAGAGAGGATTTTCTTAATTAGCACCTCCTAATTTTCCGGAGCTCTATGAAAGGATGAGTCATAACTAACATCTCTAAATTTACGTCTGCATTCTGCCTCTCATAACTGCTATCCTGTTCACATAAGTAACTTTTCCTTTTCCTCCTCAATCATGATTCTTTTTTGTTGTCTTTATTTTTAAATTTAAAGAAATATTGCTCCTGAAGGGAATGCTCTTGAAGGAAATATTGCTCCTGAAAGAAAGCATAAAAGATAAAAAATAATAATAATAAGTGACGCATCATCTCTTTACCCACATATCATTGTTATGATAACAATTACTGACTTTGTTTTGCTTGCATTTCTCCCTTTAGAGTGGGAGTTTTCTAAACCCAGGGGTTTTTAAATGTGTTTATATTTTTCTCACATTACTGCAGGCTGTTCATGAAAATCTTAGTAAATAAAATTTCATCCATGTTTACAAGAATTTTCTTGTAATTTTAAGAAAAATAGAGTCACACTACATGGAGATATTTTAAGTATTTATACAATTTGCAAAATTGTTTTCTAGAAGAAACGAATCAGTTTATTGTCATACCAATGATCTATCCAACTACCATGCTTTACAATAAACTTCCCAACAGCAATTCCACATGAATAAATAAAGGGGATTAGCTTTTCTCTTTATCCCCTCCCAGCCTCTAAAAGAGATTTCTTTGGTCCTTTGGGGTATTTTTCTTCCTTATACTAAAATTGAAAAATAAAATTGAATATATATATATATTTAAAGATGAGGGGAAGGGGCTGGGGATATAGCTCAGCAGCATAAGTGCCTGCCTGGCAAGCACAAGGTAGTGAGTTCAATCCCCGGTACCACAAAAAAAAAAAAAAAAAATTGCTATTTTGGGCTGGGCATTTAGCTCAGCGGCAAAGCGCCTGCCTGGCAAGCGCAAGGTCGTGAGTTCGGTTCCCGGTACCGGAGAAAAACCAAAAAAAA